TGAATTTGACACACATCAGGAGCTCTTAAGCTTTTCAATATCACATTGTGATCGTGGTATTGGTGATTTAACTTTTCTTCGCTGCATATTCCCACAGCTCATTAAAAATCATACTCTAATGCATGATAACTAAAAGAACAAAGTAATTAAAACTTCATTTCCATCAGTATGTACCCCTAAGGATGTGATGTGTTGTCATTGTGATTGTATTACATATATGAAACATATATACTGTATATTTACAAAGTGTTTTATCTCCAACTGGTGAAATACTAAGTACACACTAATGACGTGATATCTTCTTATTTTTTCCTTGCCAAGTCTTTCCTTTACCAGGGTAATAAGCAAGGTAAAACACACGGCTCAACATCAGTGTTTGACATTATTCCCAAGTGACTAAGCATTCAATTACCGTCAGAATATTTTAGTACCGACAAAGACAGACAGTTTGGTCCCTCAGTGTTTTGCTTCGGTTATTGTGGAAGCATTAATCTCAGCTTTGAAGTTAATGTTCCTGTTGGCTCTCTTTCTTGGTTATTTTTATTTATGAAATGTCATAGCATTTTGTGAAGTTTGTGTTTTTTTATTTTTTATTTATTTATTTTTTTTACATCAATTTTTGCAGTAGTAAAGACAGACAGAAAGAAAAAAAGAAAGAATTAGGAAATGAAGGAAAAACAATAAAGTTTCTTGTTTATCATTCATTTCCGAGTTAAAAAAGACTCATTTCCAGAACTATAGAATGTTCTGAGAGTACAGTAGTTTGGAAGTCCTTCCCAATAACCAAGCAGTGTCAGTCATTGAATGCAGTTACGTAACAAAGGTAATTGCACAGTGTAAAGTCCCGTAAGATGATGGTAAGTTCAGGGGCTTAACCTCCTCTGCATGACTTGGCAGATGGACAGAGTGGTACCACTGTGGTTTTCTTTGTATTACAGTTATTTATTTACATGATTTTTTTTTTCCATTTTCTTTTCTTAGTATTGCTTGATTGAGTTATTGATATAAGATCACAAAGTCATTGTATACTCACATCCTTGAGCTGCATTACCTCTCTGTCCATAAGTGTTTTTAGTTATGTCTTATGTTCTAGAGATATCTCTTTTACTCTCCTAAGTATAGCATGATTCTATGAGAAAGAAATGACAGACTTCATCACACTTGGGCTACATTATTGATACTATCATCATTTTATTTTTAACCTTTTTATATTCCTCTTAAAAGAAGTAAAAAGAAAGAAAGAAGAAAGATTTTTGGTGATAGCAAATCACAAGCAATTTTTTTTTCTCTTCTTTTTTTCAGCAGTGTGTGTAAAAAGAGAAAGTGTGTATTTTATTTAAATATTTTCATAGAATCATGTTTTGTTTTATTTATATTTTTTGTTTTATTTATTTTTGAAGCATAGTTATAGGACCATTGTTAGATCATTATATAACTTGAAGAATCCTGTATTGTTGATAAATTTTCTTTCACGTTGACATTTCATCAAATTCACATGACCCCAAATTTCAAGAGTTAACATTAAGTAGGTTCACTCATTACTGTTGTTGGTGTATGAGCGCGTATCTGCAAAAAGAGTGTGCACACGTTGTACCTGAGTGTGCATGTTTTGCTTGTTCAATGAGTGTGCTTGATATTGCTCTCAGAAGGTGAGTATGAAGAATATTTTGATCCTGTGTACTTTCCTTGGCGGTAACTTCTACTCTGTCATTTTACAGGAGCGAGTCACCTAAGCGCAAGAAGCGAGACAAGAAGAAGAAAAAGGAAAAGTCAAAGAGGCGCCATCGCTCCTCGTCCACCTCCTCCTCAAGTTCATCGTCCTCCTCCTCCTCGTCATCGAGCTCTGACTCTGATAGGTGAGGCCTGGAATCAAGCAGGGAATATGATCCTCCTATTCTTTTTAATGCATATATATGTCAATAGGTAGATAGATAGATATAGATATGTATTAAAAGTATTCCTTCTGTTATATGTGTATGTCATTTAGGAATTATAATAGTTTACCTGACAATCTTTACTGTTTTTCCACCAAATAGTGCCGTAAGGAGCAAGTCCAGCAAGCGCAGGCGTTCGCGCAGTCCCGCAGCTCAAAGGGACTCATCAGAGTCTCGGCGCAAGGTATGTTGTCTGTTATACATGTCGTCCACATGGCTGTCAGCTTGATAATGGTTAGTGCCATGTGGGCTACAAGGATTTATGGATGGACATGAGAGGCAGCATAAACTAAGGCTCGGCTTACAGTACTCTGAGTTTGATCTTTTTGTAAACATTGTAGCGTTTCAAAAAAAAAAAAAAAAAAAAAAAAAAAAAAAAAAAAAAAAAAAAAAAAAAATCAAGCCTGGCATAAGCCTGCAGGCCCCAGGCCCTTCTGGCAAATCAAATGTCAACCCAAATTATAGTCAGAAGTACCCTGTAGTGAGTGATGTTTTTTAAAACTAAATAAGTAGATGTTAATAATGGCAAATTTTGTCTTGAGATTACATTATGTTAGAATAAGATGATTTATATCTTAATGAAGGTTTACTTACCAAAGCTATTAGTGCTGCGAGGTAAGCCAGGATTTTTATATTATAAATTATGCATCAGTTGCTTTCTCACAAAAGTTAGATTTATGTTTACATTTTCATTAAATGCTCTTTTGATTTATATTGTATATTTGAAAACGACTATATTCATTCTATAGGTGATATTATTTTGAAACTTATTTGAATAAAATATATATATTTTTATATATATATATATCTTCAGCTAAGTGTAAATACAGTTTTTATTAAATATGGTAGACATGATTAAACTTTAATTTTTATGTTTTATCTTGAGTGTAATCGAGTGATTGGTAGTTGCCATGATAGAGTAGCTGTGGTTAAACTGTTATTATTATTATCATACCATGCACCCTTGTAGGAGTGGGGCGCGCGAAGTAAGTATGGCAGCAAGTGGGTGCTGCGCTGGTGCTCTTCCTGTGGGTGTGATATTTTGGGGAGGGGAAGGGAGGATGCAGAAGGGAGGGGGGGAGATGCAGAGCTAGGGCCAAGGGGGGGTGTAAAGACGACCCAAAACACACAGGGTCAGATCACGGCAAAACTTGTCTGAGAAATTTGTTTGTCTAAGGGCAGTGGGGGGGGGGTTATTAATGTACTGTTTGCATTACAGGTACATTTACTCTTATGTGGAAAACTTGAGCAGACAGAACTCAAGTATAATTGTACACAGATAAAGAATAAACCTACATTACTTAAATATAGTATCACAGGAACAAATATTTAATATTCACACACCAATACACTCACAATTGCATGCACAGGCACACACCCACACATGTGCACGTGCACAACACACACACACACACACACACACACACACACAACACACACACACACACACACACACACACACACACACACACACACCACACACACACACACACAACACAACACACACACACCAATACACTCACAATTGCATGCACAGGCACACAGCCACACATGTGCACATGCACACACACACACACACACACACACACACACACACACACACACACACACACACACACACACACACACACACACACACCACACACACACACACAACACACACACACATACACATACACACATACACATAAAAACACACACATTTACAAACACACACATTTACAAAACACACACATGCAAACACACACACACATACATGCAAACACACACACACATACATGCAAACACACACACACACACATTCAAAGACACACACACACACATTCAAAGACACACACACACACATGCAAAGACACACACACACATGCAAAGACACACACACACACATGCAAACACACACACACACACATGCAAACACACACACACACATGCAAACACACACACACACATGCAAACACACACACACACATGCAAACACGCACACACATGCAAACACACACATACACATGCAAATACGCACACACATGCAAACACACATACACATGCAAAACATACACATGCAAATGCATGCACACACACACACACACACACACACACACACACACACACACACACACACACACCACACACACACACACACACACACACACACACACACACACACACACACACACCAATACACTCACAATTGCATGCACAGGCACACAGCCACACATGTGCACATGCAGCACACACACACACACACACACACACCACACACACACACACACACACACACACACACACACACACACACCACACACACACACACACACACACACACACACACACATACACACATACACAAACATACACATACACATAAAAACACACACATTTACAAACACACACATGCAAACACACACACACATACATGCAAACACACACACACATACATGCAAACACACACAAACACACATTCAAAGACACACACACACACACTTCAAAGACACACACACACACATGCAAAGACACACACACACATGCAAACACACACACACACACATGCAAACACACACACACACACACATGCAAACACACACACACACACATGCAAACACACACACACACACATGCAAATACGCACACACATGCAAACACACATACACATGCAAACATACACATGCAAACGCATGCACACACACAACCACACACACACACACACACACACACACACACACACACACACACACACACACACACACACACAACACACAACACACACACACATATACACACACATATACACACATACATACAAACATACATACACAAACATACAAACATACACATACACATAAAAACATATGTACATATAAAAACATATGTACACATAAAAACATGTACACATAAAAACATATGTACACATAAAACATATATACACATAAAAACACACACATTTACAATTATAGACATACAAATAAACACATGAAAACTCACAGACATATAAACACACACACACACACACACACACACACACACACACACACACACACACACACACACACACCACACACACACACACACACACACCACACACACACACACACATACAACATACACATGCACATAAAAACATATGTACACATAAAATCATACACATAAAAATGCATACATTTACAAACACACATACAAACACACATGCAAACACGCAGGACACACACAACACACACACACAAATACACACAAACACACAAAGTAAAAAAAAAAAAAAAAGAAAAAATGTAAAGGCATGGACTCCATTTAATTTCTCAGACAAGTTAGCTTGAGCATGAGCCCGTGTTTACACTTTATGCGTTGGATCCTTGCACACTGAGCTTCTGTATATGTTCTGTTATTCTTCATCTCCCATTTCTCTGTCTGTCTGTCTCTCTCTCTCTTTCTCTGTCTCTCTGTCTCTCTCATAGTAATTTGGTATGCAACCCATAGTGGTGTTCCCACCTACCCGTCCCTTCCTCCTGGGGGCGCAGACAAGATGTCACACGTGCTAAATTGTTCTCTAGAATTCTTACATACTAATATTTTTATGTTGTGGCAATGGGAAAAAATCTTTATTCATGATGGTCTTTAAATTTTAATGTAAATATACCATTGTGATAAATGTTTGAATTGATGCATTAACCTGACATAGATTGACAGATAGACAGACATGATAGATGGTTATGTGTATGATATATCAAGTATATTTCACATGAAGTTAGTATGTGACAAACACTCCATCTTTAGCATCATGTCCTGTAAGATAGAATTGTATTTTCAGGATGGGAATCCCTTTTAAGAAGAAGTAGATAGTAAATTTTTGTTAGTGTGTGTTAGAGTAAACAGGTCTAGTTCATGTTTTTGAGGTCATTCAAGGCCTGGCAGATTAACCTCTCACTAAGTTTATTCTGATTATGAACAAGAGTATTCTGCACTGTTCAGAAAGAACCTTTAGTTTGTAATATTGAAATAAGTAGATTTGCTCCTTCATGGGTTAATCATTATCACATTATAAATAGTTCAAGTAAAAGTTTGTCATATTGTTTGGATTTTAGAAATGATTTTTCCCACTTCCATACATACATATACATATACAGGTCATGTATATGTGTATGTTTTTATTTTTAGTATATATGCCTGTGAGTATTTAATCAGATACACACTCACATATATACATTTACAAGACATCTTTCAATCTGATAATCAGTAATGTAATGTATCCTGACTAAAAGAAATGACATCTTGTCTCCAAGTTGTGCTACCCATGTATTTCTAATACACTTTATGGAGTGAATTAGATGACTGTAGAATGTATGGTTATTTCTAAATAATTTTAATGAATTTTGAGATATATTTCCTTGACTATATATTCATCAATATTTTCTTGAAATTATAAGAATTAGAAGGTATGTGTTTTATTCTGTCACTTATGATCACATGTATGGGAAAGCTGACCACTTATTACATAAGTAGCACAGCAACATCACCTTGACCTATTCACAGAGACAAGCCTTGTAAACAAAACAGCTTCATGACGAGCTGTGATGCTGGAAACTTGACAATAACCTATCACTAACATTCCATCCTTAATTCCATTGCTTTTGACCCTTAGTATTGTCACCTTGTTAATGAATGGGACAGTCATGGCAGTTCCACTTTCCCGTCTCATAAAGATTCCCTAGTGGCTGTGTTGGATGTCAGCTTTATGCAGGTTCGTGCCTCAGGGCCCTAATTGCTGTTCTCACTACTCTTCACAGAGAAGCAGAAGTCGTGAGAAGTCTCGCAAGAAACCACACCACCGCGCAGAGAGGTGAGGTTGCTGGTTCTGCAGCGATACTACCTACGTTGATGAAGGATATTTCAGTATCTTTATTTTTTTTATTATCTTTTAAAAATTAATGCACTGACCACATTCTGTTCTATATAAATGGCTGATATTTAAGAAGCAGCATAAAAAAGGGAAGTAATAGCCTACTTGATGTTCTATTTTACTGTCCAATTTACCTGATTTTGTATTTATTGTAGTAGTATGATTTTGTTTGAACATTATTGTTTATTTCTTCTCTAAGAAGCCATATAATTTCCAGAAGAGAGCTTTGTACACTAGTATTATTATTTGTTTTTTCTTTGACTATGGTTTTCTATGAAACCGATTAAGTTTAGTCTTTAGATAGTACCATTTTATTTTCTTTGTATCATTAGTTTTAAAAAGGAAATACATATTTTTCTTTCCATTTTTTTTTTTCTTTTTATTTTTATTTGTAATATTTCTCTAGATTTTGTACTGTTTAGTGAATAAAGATTTGATGTACTCTCTTTTTTTCCTTTTTATTTACTCCTCTAGATACACACATTTGAATTTACTTGCTTTCTAGTTATTGAAAAAAAAAGTATTTTATATGTCAGAAGTGCTGACAGATGCTGTCAAGTCCTGTAATGTGAGATGGTATTTTCTATGCTTGTTCAGCTCACCAGAGGCTCAGCGATCTCGCTCCAAGAAGCAGCACAGCTCAGACGTTGAATCATCTCCAGACCATCGTTCTGCGCGACACCAAGATGTCCAACCTTCCAACCAACAGACATCCAGAGACAGTCCTAGAGATGGAACGAGGGGGAGAGAAGGCCAGAAAGAGAAGGAATGGGATAAAAGAAGGAGAGTGTGTGTAGCACCTCAGGTTTGTCTGAGGGTGATCAGGGTCAAGCTAGGACAAAAAGAAAAAAGTAGAAGTAGAAGTAGGACCGCAAGTGGAGATCAGAAGCAAACCTCACCGAGAGGGCCAGCAGCTTTGCAAGTACCTATTGCAAGTCAGGAGCCTGAGGTCTCGGAGAAAGCTACTAAGCCAGAGGTCTATTGCAATGAGAGATCAAACAGCCGTGACTTGAGTTATTCCCCCATACAGCGTGAACCGCAGAGATATGTGATAGGCACAGACCCACAGAAGGTGAGGTCAGGGTCCCGCTCCATGAGCAAGTCGCCAAAGAGATTGAATGTTAGAGAAAGCCCTTCATGTGGGTCAATACCTTTGCCAAAAGTGGGTAGTCCAAGTAAAGTGGGATTAGGAATAAAAGTAGCCCAAAATGGAATCAGAGTCAGGCAGTGTCTAAGGTCTTAGAAACCAATGATGTCCTGAGAAGACCAGGTGAACTGGTCAGTGTCCGGGCCATTGGATCGCAGGAGTTACCAAGACTTCCACAAAATGGACGGCACACAGGACGACCTTCTGCAAGCAAATCACCAGCACCTCACACAAGGTAGATAGATAAAAAATTTCTCTATCTTCTGTCCTGTATTGCTTAATCTGCTGATGGACAAATCCTAATCTGATTATTACAATTATTTCAAAATGGATTATCACAATACTTCCAGTGGGGTGACAGCAGCTTCACCAACCCACAGCAGGTACTCCCGAAGCTCCAGCAGAGGGAGATCATCTTCACGTAGCACTCGCAGCTCACGTTCTCCGTCTTCATCAAGGTCCCGTTCACCATCGCCACGCTCACGGTCACCTACTTCTCGCTCGAGATCCCCAAGGTAATGAAGCTTCTTACATGGCTTAGTGATATTTGTACTTAAAGGGGGCACCTGACTGAGAAAAAAAAAATTATTAGGATATTACCATGGTATTTATAATAAAAGTAAGGGACACGATAAATATCAATACTAGAATAGAAAACTTGATCAATAACCTTTTTGTTTTTCACCCCTTTCACCCTTCTAGGAAAAAAAAATTTAATTAATTTACTTATGTTTATGGAATATGAATTTTCATAAGAAGAAAAAAAAATCTAAGGGTAATACATACAAAACAACATAGATTCAGTCAAAAAGCCCAGGATGTGTGAATTTTCATCAAAATTAGAAAATAAAGAAGCAATGAAAGTATAAAACTTATTTTGTGAGATACAGGGGTCTAAAGTATTCACAGATTTTAAACTCCTGTTTAATGAACCTCAAATAAGGGATATCATCATATGTCTTCTATTTATATGATTATTATATTAACAGACTGAAATACTATTTATTGATATTTATATTGAACTGACTTCTCAGAATCATAGGGTTATATTCAAATGGATGGGGTTAATCCTCAGTACAAAACTAAGAAAAATATTGATTAATAGACAGGTTTTAGACTGTCAAATCTCATAAACAACTGTAGAAAGGGTATCACTCCCCCCACTTCCCCATTTTTGTCATCTCAGACTGATGCTTCCTTAAGTGCAAAGTGAGCTGTAATCTTTGGATGATCACATTCCGTGGTTAATACATTTGCATGTTTGTGTGTATATAGAATGCATACAAAAACAGACAAAAAGTTAAGTATCCAATCCCTTGTAGGTCTCGTTCTCCACATTCCCGGTCTAGATCACACTCCCGTTCAAGATCCCGTTCCCTGAGATCACACTCAAGATCTCGGTCCTATACAAGGTCACGGTCTCGCTCGAGGTCCAGATCAAGAAGAAGTAGGTCCAGGTCTCGATCACGATCCTATGGTCACTACAGCAGATCAGCCTCGCGTTCAAGATCCAGAACGAGGACCAGGTCCCGTTCGAGGTCACTCTCTATCCCAAGGAGGAGAGGGTCCCCTTCCTTTCTTGACAAGAGAAGGATAACAAGGTGAGTAATACTTGGAATGAAGATGCCTGTACCTAAAATGCCAGAGAATTATAAGTTTGTCTCTCCCTATGTTCATCTTTAAAAGAAAATATGCTTCATACAGTACTGCACATCAGTGTTTGTATATGCATCCATTCTGTATTGTATTCTGTGTTATTTTATTTAATGTATATTTTGTAGGATTGCAAGTTGCCACATTAGTATCAGTGTATTATTTTTATGTTATATTTGATACTCTTTGTTATGCATCATTTTTAGTAATTAGTAAAGAATTCTATTTTTAATTTTTTCCACATTTAAGATAGAGCATTCTTTTCTTTAGGAATGTGAATATTATATTTATTGGTGCGTCAAATTTAAACACTTCATTCAATACTGGAAATGCTCATTATAAATGCTCTATGAGAAAGTAAAGACCCACATTTTGCTCATGTGTCAGTGATGTATTTTATTATTTTCTTCCCCCAGGAAATTGATTAATAAATAGTAGTCGCCATGAGTGCTTCAGATTATAACAATTGTTTATGGTCCTAATGAATGAAAATATTAACTACTTGGTAAAAAATACATATAACTGCTCTTGGAAGTAAGTAGAATAAATAAAGATATGAATTGGCTTAAAGCACTTGAATATGTCATTCAGAGGAACACAGTTCAGCTGTGTTCTTCTTTTTTACACAGGAGATATTGTTTAATTACCATTAATTTCACATATCCACATAAAGATACAGAAATTACATTTGATATATTTTTTAGTTCATTATTTGTAATTGCTTTCCTTTTTGTTTCTTTTTTATTGTACTCTTATTTTGTATTGTTTTCTTCTGATAGATCAATGTTTCAACCTTTTTGTTTTTATTATAGTATTTTCTGTTTTTCCTGCATATGCAAAAAGATTATTTTGTAGCACACATTATTGCACAAATTGCACCTTATTAGCACCTTACGTTTTTATGACTATGTTTTACGTTGAACTATTTTTGCATGTTTGCTCGAGATGCAAAGTTATTATTTTATATGATTTTTATTTAACAGTATTGATTGATTGATGGTGACATGTATTATTCACTGAATACAGGGTAAGTAACATTTCGCTCTGTTTTTAATTTCATGTTACTTTTAAGTGTACTTGTCTGTGGCTCACCTCTTTTCACTTGGTCTATTGTAACAAGAAAATTAACAGCATATTCCAGAGTGATTTCTTTTAGTGTTATCTAGACCTGCATCATCATATATATTTTGTTTATGTAGGCTTATTCATTTATAGACATCATAACTTGAATTTCATTGACTAACATTGGCTTGGGAAGAATGGCTTTTACTTTGCAGTTGCTTTTTCCATTTTCCTTTTTTACTTCAACTGCTACTAACGTTTGTATCAGTATTAAGAAATAGACTAAGGAAAAGAAAAAGAAAAACTTTTGCTCTTATTTTGCACTTTGGGGTATTCACAAAAAGAATGACATGATTCTTGAAAACAAAACACTAACATCACTAACACAACTAACCTTACTAACAAACAAAACAGCGCAAGGAAGCGACCAGTGCCCTACCATCGGCCAACTCCCCCCCCTTCCCCATCTTCTTCCGAATCATCTTGGTGGTCTCGCAGCCGTAGCCGCACTCGGAGCAGATCCTGGAGCCGTACGCGTTCTCCCTCCTATAGTAGGTAATCAAGAAACAAAGCTCCTGTTACACACTCTTCAGCTGAAAGAAAGAAGGAAGAAGTCCAAATCCGACCGCGACACAGCTAGGTTGAGAGCTTACAACATTCCCATATCAATGCAATATTAATTCTTGGTATAAGATGCATGTGTTATTTTTGTTAGCTCTTATTTGGAGGTTAGAAATTTGTCAGAAGTTATTGAGAATATTAATAACTGTTTTATAACCTTGTAAAAAGTGTATAGGAGGATATATTACAATGCTTTCACAATTATATCAATTATATCCTCATATACGATAAATGTATATAAAACTTGATATACAAAGCATTATGGCAAAGTCTGTTAACTCCTGAATACTTTATTTTACAAGAAGTAAGAGGAATCAAAATATCAAATTAATTTGGTAACGATAGAAAGTGAAATTATTAGGGTTTTGTAAAAACTGTTGTACCTACAATAGGAGAGAAAACTATAAAAATTGGGAGCCTTTGCTTTTGTCAGTGTGGTAACTTGCTTCTCATTGATGAGAAATTGCTCTGGTTAGTAACACTTTGTCCTCACCACCTTGTTTCTATACAAATTCTTTGTATGGGTAAGTTTCCACAGTTGGTAGATTCGTCTTCTTAAACAAAAGCTTGTTCTCAGCATTCATTTGAGGATGTGAAAACTGAAGTG